GAGAGAGAGAGAGAGAGTATCTCACTCTGTTGTCCTGGGTAGAGTGCTATGGTGTCATAGCTCACAGCCACCTCAAACTCTTAGACTCCAGCCTCTTGAGTAGCTGGGACTACAGGTGCTTGCCATGACACCCAGTTAGTCTTTCTTTTTTTTTTTTTTTGGAGACTGAGCCTCAAGCTGTCCCCCTGGGTAGAGTGCTGTAGCATCACACCTCACAGCAACCTCCAACTCCTGGGCTCAAGCAAGTCTCCTGCCTCCGCCTCCCAAGTAGCTGGGACCATAGGCGCCTGTTGTTGTTGTTGTTTGGTGTTGGATTTGAACCCACCACCTTAGGTGTATGTGGCTGGCGCCTTAGCCACTTGAGCCACAGGCGATTAATTTTTATTTTTATTTTATTTTTTATTAACATGTAATACATCCTGAATTTGGCATCTGAAGATGCCTTGGAGAGTGTCTCCTTAGGCCCCTACCACTCAATAATCTGTCCCCCTTTTCTCTATATCATCCCCAGAGGAGCCACAGGTGAGCACAAGCCATCTCTTGAAAACATATACCCAAATCCTATCTTGTTTGTTGGTGCTGATGTCACCATGGAGCAGGGCCATGCTGCAGTTTACAGGCACAGACCCCAGCATAGTGAATAGACTGGGTAATAAGCCATGGAGTTGTCTTGATCCTAGACTCCAGTATATGTGTTTATGTGCTTGTTCCTTTTGGAGGAGAAGGTTGGCTACTTCCGTCTTAGCTTCCAAGACTGGGACAGCCTTCTTGTGGGAGGTGGGGTTGTCCACCTTTTTAGACTGAAGATATCATTGCCATTCTCGGAGGGATTTGTGTGTCTAGAAAGCTGGTGTCTGAGGCCTCCAGGGGTCATATCATGTCTCCCAGTGAGGGTGCCAGGTCAGGAGCCCTGACCCACCTGCTGAGTGTGCCCAAGTTGTGCAATCACCTGACTGAGAGGTGGCTCACCTTCCAGATTCACCTGCAGGAGCTGCTGCAGTACAAGAGGCAGAATCCAGCTCATATAACCTGTGTCATATAACAGTTCTCTGGGCCCAGGAGGATCAGTGGGGGAGATAGAGGACAAGTGATGTATGAACTCCCTTCTTGGGAGTCCCTGAAGGAAGAGGCCCGGGTGCTTCCCTGAGGCATTATTCAGTTACTCCCTAGTATAGAAGATAGGCTTGCTTTGGGAATAAGGTTCTGAGGGCCTGGCACCTTGTCCTGCTAAGGCAGATTGGGTGAATTATACATTTTTGGCAGTGTTTTTCAAACTTCTTGAATTAATGGCCTTGAACATCTTGACTAAATTGGATCACACCGTTCCTTGAAGGCATGTCTATCTGTCCACTCACTGAACAGTCTTTTCTTACCCAGACCTTGTGTTCTGTGCAGTTCTATCCTCGAGCCTGCTCTGGCTGTGCTGGGATACTGTGTTCCAAGAATTATGATTTACTACATTGTCTGTGAGTAGGGTCTAGCCCAACCCTTCTCAAAGCCCTCTGCTTCCCTGGTGTGACTGGGCGGGGGGCGGGGCTAAGTTCTGTCTGCTCAGTTACTGACTTGTGGGAGGGCTCCAGGGATATTGTAGCATTGGTAACAGGAAGCCTCATCTGGAGAGGACAGTGGGTGGGGAGGGAAGAGGTTGGCACAGCCTTGGGAAAGGACTTTATCTTTCTTCAGCCCTGCCTGTTGAGGGACTAGGTGAATGTGGGCCCTTAGGAAGTTTGTATGGGGAGCTCGGAGTGGACTTTCTAACCCACAGTGCTGAGTATCCTGCTGTGGCCCCTGGTGGTTTATCATGAGCTAATCCAGAGGATGTACACTCGCCACAAGTCCCTGCTTATGCAGCTGGACTACAGCACGAAGGCGGATGCTGCTGTTTTGCGTCACAAACATGACAAGAAGAGTAAGGGGCTCCCTTAACCCCGAGGGGCAAAAGTAGGGGAGGGAGGGCCTTGGCTTGTGGCTTATGAAATGCCCTGGAATTGAGATCTCCAGGTCCTGGACTGTGTTTATACCCCAACCCTTTTCCACGCTTGGTCACTGCCCTGCTGCTCTTGCTTCTCTAGAGCAGCAAGGAAAGAACATACCTGCAGGAGGTGATGAGCCAGGGGCAGAGGCGGAGCTGACTGGCTTCTCCCTGGGGGTGAGCTTTGGGGAGATGGGTGTGGTGAGCAGAAGGCAGGGGTGAGGGGGAGGTCTGCCTGCTTTAGAATTGTCACCTCTCAAGGGGGCGTGAGCCAGAGGTTGGCGGGGAGAGCATGCCCCTGAAAAATTGGTTCTTTTATCACCCGTTGTGTTCACCCTATCTCTCCTACAGGTAGATGTGAAGAAAACGGCACTGGCATTGGCCATTACAGACTCAGAGCTGCCAGATGAGGAGGCTTCCATCTTGGAGAGTGGTGGCTTCTCTGTATCCCAGGCTGCAACTCCACAACCGACTGATGTCTCTGAGGGTAAGGGTGCTTCTTGCTCCCTTCCTGCTGCCTGCTGTGGGCTGCTGGTTCTCTTCTCTGACCCCCGTCAATGTTTTTGCTGGGGAACCGACCCTCTAATTCTGCTCTAAGCTCCTGAAAGACCCTAATAAGGTTTGGTCCAGGATTCCATGTCTCATTCTCAGCCTTGAAATGACTGGCTGTTTTGGCCAAATGGAGTAGCAGGCTTATTTCTAACCCTGTGTTCTCTGTACAGATTTGGACCAGCAGAGGGAGCCAGAGGCGGCCCTGAGCTGTGAGCTGGGGGAGAGAGAAGAGGCAGAGCTGGTACCTCCCAAGGACCTACTGGCCACCTCTCAGACCTTGGCAAATCAAGCCCTGGACTCGGAGGAAGAGGAAGATGTGACAGCTAAGAAAACCTTGCTTCGGCTCTCATCCTCCCTTCACTTTGTGAACACACACTTCAGTGGGTCAGGATCCTCCCCAGATAGAGTGAAGTCCTCCCTTGAAGTACCAGTGGAGACGCTGAGCCCGGAGACAGTGAGTGGAGACCTCAGCACTCCACTCAGCATCCTGTTGCCCCTACTTGGCCTTGCTGAAACTGACCGAGTGCCCTCCTCCATGTTCTCAAGTCTTCCCCAGGACTCACCCCAGCTCCTGGCTGACCCTGAGGAAGAAGAGGGATTCACTACTGAGGACTTTGAGTTGCTGGATCAAGGGGAGCTGGAGCAGCTGAATGTGGAGCTGGGTTTGGAGCCAGAGACACCCCGAAGACCCCCTGATGCTCCATCCCTGGGGTCTGACAACCATTCTCTGGTACAGTCAGACCAAGAGGCTCAGACCATGGCAGAGCCATAAGCCATGGGGAAGGAGCTGCAGGTATAGCAGGGTTTCCTTTTTATTTATTTATTTAAAGAGACAGAGTCACTTTGTCGCCTTCAGCAGAGGGCTGTGGCATTGAAGCTTACAGCAACTTCCAGCTCTTGGCTTTGGCGATTCTCTTGCCTCAGCCTCCTGAGTAGCTGAAACTATAGGCGCCCACCACAATGCCCAGCTATTTTTTTGTTGCAGTTTGGCCGGGCCAGGTTTGAGCCCGCCCCCTCAGTACGTGGGGCCTGCGCCCTACTCACTGAGCCACAGGCTCCGTCCATAACAGGGCTTCTTGACTAGGGGTGTTGCTGTTTTCTCCTTTCCCTACTACTCTGGGGAAGCTGGCTGTCAGACAGGAGCCAGTCCACCCTTTGCGTGCCGTCCCAGGCATGGTGCAGAACCTGTGCTTGGGATTGGTTTTTTTTTTTTTTTTGAGACGGAGCCTCAAGCTATCCCCCTGGGTAGAGTGCCATGGCATCACAGCTCACAGCAACCTCCAACTCCTGGGCTCAAGCGAGTCTCCTGCCTCCACCTCCCAAGTAGCTGGGACCACAGGCGCCAGCCACAACGCCCGGCTATTTTTTGGTTGCAGCCATCATTGGTGTTTGGCGGGCCTGGGCTGGGGATTCAAACCCACCACCTTAGGTGTACGTGGCTGGCGCCTTAGCCGCTTGAGCCACAGGCGCTGAGCCGGGATTGGTTTTAAGTTTGTAAATTTTGCATTTGGGTTAGTGGATGTTAAGGGGGCAAGGGAAGTCCTTCCCACAGCATGCTCTTACCTCCCTGGCTCATCTCTATTCTCTTTCTACTATGGCCCAAACTGGTGGTCTAGGCTTTTCTTTTTCATTTTTTCTCTTTATTTATTTTTCGGGACAGACTCACTATGTCACCCTCAGTAGAGTGCCAAGGTATCACAGCTCACAGCAACCTCCAACTCAAGGGCTAAAGCGGTTCTCCTGCCTCAGCCTCCCCAGTAGCTGGGACTATAGGCACCCACCACATCACTTGGCTGTTTTTGTTGCAGTTGTCACTGTTTAGCTGACCTGGGCCGGGTTCGAATCTTGTCAGCCTGTGTGTGTGTGGCCGGCACCCTATCAGCTGAGCTATGAGTGCCACCTAGCCTTTTATTTTCCTCCTACCCTCAGAGACCTGTGCTGCTCTGCCCTCATGTTCCACTTGGTTGTTTAGTTCAGGCACTTTATACTTCTCACCTGTCCCATGTTCCTTTGCTTTATTTCCCTGCTGTGTTCTGTCCTTAGCAGCTCAACCTCCACCTTCTTCGTAGTGGGCAGTGGCTAAGCTATAGGGAGTATCCTGGTCTGGGAATTAAAGACTAAACATAGGGTGGCGGGTCAGGCCAGTAGTGTAAGAGGCTGTTAAGCCTTGCCTACAGGCCCCCACCGTGCTTTTCCAGGTCGCTTAGGCCTCGACAAATTGCGTGATATGAGTCTTTTCGCTCAGTTTCTGGAATTAAAAGAGTACATTTAATTTTGTGGGAGTTCATCCCACACTGACAAATCCCAATGTGTCCAGGAGAGGACTACTACAGATGAATGCTGGAAAGTCACACCTAGGAGATTAACATTTTTTTTTTTTTTTGGTAGAGACAGACTCACTTTGTTGCCCTCAGTAGAGTTCTGTGGTGTCACAGCTCACAGCAACCTGCAGCTCTTGGGCTTTCACTACATGTTTGTTTTTTTTTTTTTTGTAGAGACAGTCTCATTTTATCACCCTTCGTAGAATGCTGTGGCATCACACAGCTCATAGCAACCTCCAACTACTGGGCCTAGGCGATTCTCCTGCCTCTGCCTCCCAAGTAGCCGGCGCTACTGGTGCCTGCCACAATGCCTGGCTATTTTTTGTTGCAGTTTGGCCGGGGCCAGGTTCAAACCTGCCACCTTTAGTATATGGGGCCTGGTGCCCTACTCACTGAGCCACAGGTGCTCCCGGAGATTAACTTTTAAACTAAAATGTTGTAATAGCTCACTAAGTTATGCTGATTATTATTTGGAATGGGGATCGGTGTGGTCCTTTAAACTTTTATGTATAAAACTAATCTTGGGGCTGGGTATGGTGGCTCATGCCTATAATCTTAGCACTCTCAGAGGCTGAGGCTGGTGGATTGCCTGAGCTCACAGGTTCAAGATCAGCCTGAGCAAAACCGAGATCCCCCATCTCTAAAAATAGCCAGGCGTCATGGTAGGCATCTGTAGTCCCAGCTACTTGGGAGGCTGAAGCAAGAGAATTGCTTGAACCCAAGAGTTTGAGGTGGCTGTGATCTGTGACGCTGTAGCACTCAACCAACGGTGACAAGTAAGACTGTATCAAAAAAAAATTTTTTTGGTGGATGGAACCCTGTCTCTGCATATTGACTGAAAGAGACATGTAGTTGGCCCCTCTTTCTCTGGTAACACTTTTTTTGGTCCAGTCAAATGTGTAGCAACTGGGCCAAGCACAGTGCCTCATGTATGTAATCCTAACACTCTGGGAAGCTGAGGTGGGTGGATTGCTTGAGCTTATGGATTCTATCTAGATCAGCCTGAGCAACAACGAGACCCTCAACTCTAAAAATAGCCAGGTGTTTGCACAGGTGCCTGTAGTCCCAGCTCCTTGGGAAACTGAGGAAAGACTGGCTGGAGCCCAAAAGTATGGAGTTGCTGTTTATTTATTTTATTGAGACAGAGCCTCAAGCTGTTCACCCTGGGTAGAGTGCTGTTGCATCATAGCTTACAGCAACCTCCAACTCCTGGGCTTAAGCAAGTCTCCTGCCTCAGCCTCCCAAGTAGCTGGGACTACAGGCACCTGCCACAGCGCCCGCCATCATTGTTGTTTGGCAGGCCCAGGCTGGATTCGAACCTGCCAGCTCAGGTGTATGTGGCTAATGCCTCAGCCATTTGAGTTACAGGTGTTGAGCCTGAGGTTGCTGTGAGCTATGATGTTAAGGCACTCTCTACCATGGGTGACAAATTAAGACTATCTTCAAACAAAAAAGTGTAGTGGGGTCATGTCTGGCTCAGTGGGTAGGGTACTGGCCCCAGCCAAACTGCAACAAAAAAAATAGCTAGGCGTTATGGCAGGCACCTGTAGTCCCAGCTACTTGGGAGGCTGAGGCAGGAGAATCGCTTAGGCCCAGTAGTTGGAGGTTGCTGTGAGCTGTGTGATGCCACAGCATTCTACCAAGGGTGATAAAGTGAAACTCTGTCTCTACAAGAAAAAAAAAAAAACTAGTGAAAGTTGATTGGCAGCACCCATAGCTTAGTCAGTAGTGGACTGTCCACATACACTCAGTGTGGCGGGTTCCAACCTGCTAAACAATGATAACTACAACCAAAAAATAGCTGGGCATTGTAGCTGTCTCCTGTAGTCCCAGCTACTCCAGAGGCTGAGGCAAGAGAAATTGCCTAAGCCCAAGAGTTGGAGATTGCTATGAGCTGTGATGCAATAGCATTCTACTGAGGGTGACATAAAACTGTCTCCAAAAAGTTGATTTATGTGAGTTCTGTGCTTGGTGATATTGCCAAGTTTATGTAAATGTTTGAGTAAGCAACTTTCACCAGTGATATAACCGAGTCTCATTTCTGAGGTTTGTTTTCAAGGTCCAGTTTGAGCCTCCTGATGATTCATGATCACACACCATCTGCTACACGAAACGAGGCAAATTCTAATGTTTTGTTATCCTCACAGTAAGAATCATGAAGTTGGAAGATGGTGCTCAGACTAGGATTCTCAAAATGGGCATTTCACCATGATCTGGCAGGAAAGTGCACCCACTCACTTTTGGGCATCTTAGTTTTGAGGAAAAGCTCTGCCCTGGTGTACATCTACAGCAGGCGTCCTCAAACTACATCCCACGGGCCACATGCAGCCCGCTTAGGACATTTATCCAGCCCCCCGGTGTTTTTGCTTCCACTGCCTGTCCTGCTTAGCAACTGACTCGTCCTGGGCCCCCAGTCCAGTCCTCCAACGGTCTGAGGGACAGTGAACTGGCCCCCTGTTTAAAAAGTTAGATCTATGGCTTGGCGCCTGTGTCTCAAGTGGCTAAGGCACCAGCCACATACACCTGAGCTGGCGGGTTCGAATTCAGCCCAGACCCGCCAAACAATGATGGCTGCAACCAAAAAATAGCC